CCTGCTGAGGTATACAAGAATGGTGGTAGAGTTCTCTTAGTCAGGCTAACGGAAGTGTTAGCCAGTATATGGGAATCAAATACGATCCCCTCCGACTGGTCTAAGTCACTGATCATCCCAGTCTTCAAGAAAGGCGAGAAGTCCTCTTGTGATAACCACAGAGGAATCAGCCTGACAAACATAGTGTCTAAGATCCTAAGTTCTATAATTCTCCGACGCCTGAGTGGAGCTCGGGAACAGCAAGCCCGAGAAAACCAGGCAGGCTTTAGACCTGGCCGTGGATGTATCGACCAAATATTCACACTGCGCCAGGTCCTGGAACATAGGCATGCTTACAGACGCCCGACAATAGCTGTATTTCTCGACCTGAAGGCGGCATTTGACTCCGTTGATCGAGAAGTCTTATGGCAGTGTCTGTCACTGAAAGGCGTGCCTAGTAAGTACATCACCTTATTGAAAGCTCTCTACTCGAACACTTGTGGGCATGTTAGAGCCTATGGTGAGTTGTCCAGGGAGCTATACTCATCAAGTGGTGTCCGTCAAGGATGCCCACTATCCCCATTCTTATTTAATTTTATCATAGATATTCTTATGGAGGTTTCCCTCTCGTCACCTAATTACAAAGACGTTGACCGGATCACAGGTGAATTTTCCTTAGATCTAGAATATGCAGATGACATAGTCCTGTTAGGTGAAGACGCTGACAAGATGCAGAGTCTTCTGAACACTTTGAGTGGGAATTTGAGAATGTTTGGGATGCGATTTTCACCACCCAAATGCAAATTTTTGCTCCAGGACTGGTCTTCAGCGGTACCGCGGTTAACAATAGAGAGTGAAGTGGTTGAGTGTGTTGACCACTTCACTTACCTGGGAAGTAGGATCAACTCCGGTGGGTTAGTTGCCGATGAGATTTCTGCACGGATACAAAAGGCTCGATTGGCTTTTGCCAATTTGCGCCACCTATGGCGCCGCCGTGATATTCGTTTGTCTATTAAGGGTCGCGTGTACTGCACAGCAGTCCGCTCTGTTCTACTGTATGGCTGTGAAACATGGCCATTGAAAGTGGAGGATACAAAAAGGCTTCAGGTGTTTGACCACCGTTGCCTTCGTAGTATAGGACGTATTCCGTGGTGTCACCATGTGAGTAATGCAGAAGTTAGGTGTAGAGTTTTGGGGAGAAGAGGTAAGTCAGTCGACGAGGTTGTGAACCTTCATCGACTGAGATGGTTGGGACACGTACTACGTATGCCTAGTCACCGATTGCCTCGTCACACAATGTTGGCTGAGGTGGGTTCAGGCTGGAAAAAGGCCCGAGGTGGCCAGACTAAAACATGGCACCAATGTATGAAGTCTCTGACTGTTGGTTTAAGCCATGTAGGACGATGCAGACTAGGTGGTTGGGGTCCACGGGACAAGAGGAACCAGTGGTTGGAGACCCTAGGTGATATGGCTCAGAACCGAAGTCAGTGGCGCAGATGTATACACACATTATCCTCATCTTAACAACGCTATACCGAATCTCACTATTTTGTCACTCCTCTTTCCTTTCTTCTCGTACTTTATATTTCTTTTGACTGCATTCACTTATCTTCATCCTTCACCTCACTACCTTTTTACTTGATGTGCTGATATGAGGTGTGGCAACTCGGACCGTTACGCAGTAATGCCTGGTCCTATGTTGATAATGATGATGATGATGATGAGACATGCTCACACCACTATTGCAGAAGGTCCGGAAGGAAGGAAAGAAGGAAAGGTACCTACCGATTGATGGGAAGAAAGGCTACCTTATCGAACTTCCAAACAAGGGAGACCTATGTCTTTGCAAGAACTGGCGCAAATCATGCTCCAGTCCACACCCACCAAAACAAAATATCAACCCGCATCATCCTTGAGAGACTAAAAGGTTCACTAGATTCACAACTACGACCGAAACAGGCTGCCTGGCTGGCTGGCTGCCTGGTTTCAGGAGGAACAATCATATGCAGATCGAATTGCAACACTACGCTACGCATCATCCATAGAACAGACAGAGCATAGAATGCCAGTCAACTCAACAAAACCTCAACTTCATCAACTTTGAAAAGGACTTCGACAGAGTCGACTGAGGAGTAATTTGACAGGCAGCTGCTTCAACACTACCGTTTTAGTTAGTGCCATAAACCTTTATCAACCTCATTCAACACCAGATATATGCTATGCTATGTAATGCTACATGCCAAGTGATTCACAATGGAAAGAAAGTTCAGTGATGCCTTTGAAGTGAAGACAGGGGACAGGAGTAAGACAAGACTGCCACCTACTATCACCGATCATCTTCATGATTGTGGTCGACTCGACTCGACTCGACTCGACTCGACTGGATCATGCAACAAACTATGCGGAGTGAGAAGATGGGTATACCCAGGCTGCATTGATGAAAATACCCAAGAAGTTTTGGATTTCGCCGCCGATAACAATGATTCATGTCTTGTATCTTGTGGCACAAACTCGAAGATCTACAGGCGAAAACTAACAAGTTGACAGGAGAGGCAGGGCAGCGAAGACGGGACACCATTCAAGTGAACGTAGAGAAGACGACAGAGGTAATGAAGATATTTCGACCAACATCAACAACAACAAGAAGTGTCAATCACCATCAATGGGAGGAACCTAAATGAATTAGCCCCTCTCGCCTACCTTTCTAGGCAGCACTTTTTGAAGTGCAGGCGGCGCAGATGGGGACTTCAAAGCCAGCATTGGAAAGAAAGCAAGACAGGCCTTCATTAACCTGAAATCAATGTGGAGATCTACTCAAATCAACTCAGCGTAAAGCGTGAACAAGATCCAGATTTTCAACACCATCGTCAAGTACGTCATTGTTTCTATATGGTTCAGAAACTTGACGCGTCATAGAAAGCACTTTGAGGGAACTACAGAAATCACATCAGTCGCTGCTTACGCTCAATACTGAAGATCAGATGGCCAGATCAACAGGATTAAGCAGTATGGAACTCTTTCAAAGAACCAACCAAGAACCTATCACCTAACAAATATGCAGAAGTGGAAATGGATACTGCATACGCTGAGAGGGCCTACTGGGTACATCACGCGTCAGGCCCTTTGAGTAGAATATAAAGGGGAAACGACGAGTTGGGCATCTTGGCTGAGGGTGATATGGAGGAGATGGTATGAGGAAGAAAAGAAAGCTTGTGGGGAGTGGTGGAGACAGGTTGAGAAGACTGAAGAGAGTGAAATGGAATGGAGACGTGCTTCTGAAACCGTATGTTCCACTGGAAATCCAAGGGAAAAATAATAATGAGATGTTCAACAGATAAGGTAGATGCGGCGGAGGTAATTATACATGGTGAACTCAAACTTATGTGGTAGTGCTGAAAAATGAAATCTACTGATGGCACAATGCAGAGGCTTTTATGATGCTTTAAGATGAAAACAATGTAGTAACTACTTAATGAGCCCAAGGCAGTAATATTAAACATATCTGATAATATTCAGAAGTCAACGAACACATGAAAAACGGGAACGAATAAAATGATGTATTGACCTTTTAGGTCATATGAAGTCGTAGTTAGTTGAGTTGAAAAGTTTTCATTTAATACTGAAACCTGGTAATTTCAGTAGAATTCATGATACTTTTCAAGTTTATGATCTAGGTTTTTGCATAAGGCATATAGTAGATTTAAGAACTACCGACTCAGATATTTAGCAACGGTGCTACACTGAGTTTCAAAACCGTTCTAGATCTAGATCTACCAATCCCTATGACTTTAAGCATAAATAAGATGATAAACTTTCAGATGACAATGAAAAATGATTAGTTTTGTTGTAGCCAGTTGTATACTAATATGTAGATTGGTATGGTTCTGGAAGCAGTTAGAGATGGGCTCAGTGATGGTTGTGACTAAGGTTTCAAACTAATGTCCTAGTAGAGAATATAATTCTAGGAGTAAATCTTTGTCTGACTTCTACGATCTTTAAGTTTTAGCATAAAAGAAACAAACAACACAAGGAGTTATCGTGGGGTCATCAATGTCACTAATCTTGGCGGACTTATATTCATGGAAAGTTAGGAACGGGTGAGCCTCAAAATATTTATTTCTGCTGTAAAATATTAAACATAAAATGAAAAATCCTTATTTCCACGAAATAAAATGCGTAATGTAATGTGAGCGAATACAAGTAAAAGGTTGTGTACTGGGTGAAGTATTCAAAGTTAGCGTACTAAATATTGGTAATGCACCCATATAATTAGTCTGTTCAAAACGCTCAGCTTATTAAATCACTGCACTTAGACGATGACTATTCCAAACTAAAATTATCCATTTAATAATATGTATTCAACCGATGATTAAATAATGGAGACTGCAAGGTTTCATATCATTCACTATGATATAAACCTGTGGTCACGAGGTTTGCAAAGTTATTCACTATCATTCTTTCAAATAATAATTGAGGAAATGATCAATTGAAAGTACTTTGTATCCTACATTGAAGACTGATGTAGAAAAACTAGTTGTGTTGAAGACCAATACAAATTCAGTCATGCTAAAGTACTTTTTTCAGTCAATTGATCAACTAATCAATTCACCATCATTTGATTCACACTGATATCATAGCATAAATTAGCTGAAGTAGGGTTGCGATTTGCAATTTTTAAAAATAGTGCCTTACAAGTAAGTGAATCACTATTTTTCTCTCTCCTAATGGGTAAGTCATTGTTTGCCTATTGGTTAGGGTCCCTATTACCTAAACGATAAGCCTTCGAGGTTATTTGTATGATGCATATTTGAACAACAGTAGTTCAGACTTAACAAACACCAACAGCTGAGCCATTTAAGTTTGATAGTTGAGAGTATATCCACCGTGAAGCAATCGACTGAATACCAACTTAAAATTTTTATGACCATAATACTAAGTAAACTAAATTCTGGTGATTTTTGTTTGTTACTTTTTTTATTTTTTCTGCTTTCTCTATTTTGTAATTATACTGAAAATATCAGACTTATCCTTTAATCGGATTGCAAAAATCGAGAACTTAAATAAACTTACAAAACTAGAAGACTTGAGCTTGTTCAATAATCACATTAAACTGATTGAGGGATTGGATGAAAGCAGGAATTTAAAACACTTTTCAATTGGTAATAATCAATCACTGAGCTTGAAAATGTAAATTTTAATGTTGTTTGTTGTTATTACAATCGTTTTTATTATTTTGTGTTTTCTTGGTTCTTTCTCGTTTTTAAGCTCTTTTATTGATATGAGAAAAGTGACTATAGTAGAAGAAATGACAGTGGATTTTGTTTTTTACCTCATATTTTTAATTGTTTCTTTTTTCCACGTACATGAAACAATTTCAATGCACACAAAAGATCGTGTACTTAAGGCAATTCGAAAAGCTGGAATCTGTCACTTTAAGCGGTAATCCAGTTACGAATAATCCAGACTACTTGTATTACACATGTGCATTTGTATCGCAGTTACAGTACTTGGATTACAAGAAAGTTTCACAAAGAGTGGTAAGTAACCAATTAAGCATGAAATCTTGATATATATATATATATATATATATATATATATATATATATATATCAAGCTATTTCTTGAACCTTATTACATTCATAAACGTGGAAAATACTTCAAAGCCATATTTAAGTAACTAATTAACTTTTCAGTTGGTTAGCTTTGGTTTGCACCAATGAACAAGACGGTCACTTGATGACGAATTAGTATACATACTCAAATCTTATGTGTTGTCAACTACAGTATTCATAGGAAGGATAAAATATCTATCATGGTGTGGGGAATAAACTTTATTTATTCTTGAATGAATACAAAACAGCATTAAACATTTAGTCTGCTACTACTTTGCTACTTTTTTTAAGATCAAGATATTCCATGTTTATCCAACTGGTGTAACTATTCGGCTGAAGGATGTTTTGAAAGCTTTATAACCGCCTCCTGTATCTCTGGTTCGGCAAATCTGGAACAGCCCGCCTTACATTAGACAGTTAAACATAGGCCATAAATTCCTATAAGAACTTCTGTGAATTTATCGCGAAGCGGGTCATTCATGAATACTGATTTACTATTCAGTAAGTTGGTTTAGGGGCCTGTAAGTAATGTTTATATGCAACTGTAACTCATTAATACGTATAGCGTAGGAAAAAAGCCTCGCTTACAGCTTTTCCTACACACTCAGATCCAAATTTTCTTAATCACCAGTGTTAATAAAATAAAATAGGTGGTGTTTTGTTTACTAAGCATTAATTATGTTGCTCATAATGAACTTGTATGGGATTTTCTTTATAACTTTTTATTTATATGGACAAAAGTAAGTCAGCGACATTTTGTTTCTTACTCTATTTTTCTGTTATGTTTTTATATGAATACATGATGTAGTGTTCACTAATTAATCCCACTCGCATCTTTACTTCTACTCCTACAGCAGCATGAATCAACTTGGATGATATCTTGGTCATTTTTGTATGGGAAATAAATTATTCACGACATGTAATAGTTTTGTCACATGAGAGTTCCGTAAAGTGGAAGACTATAGGAATTAAATGATTGATTTCAATATAATCTGCAGTGATTTTCAGTGTATAGTACAAGTTCGTAATGCAATCTTCTTCGAAGTTGTGCTCGTTTTATTATTCACAGTCACTTGTTTATTGCTTTTTGATAAAGCACAGGGTATTTTGAAGATTCTAACCGGTAAACATGAAGACTCAGAACTTGACTGATGCACAAGCTGTCTAGCTAGTGATGAGGAGGATGGTTGTCATCGGGTTTCCTAGGTTTTGATACTTCGTCGTGGATGTTTCATCACTAGAGCTAATTTCTGTATGCATTCAAAATGGTGCACTAGAATCATTTGCTGATTTCGTAATGTATGATGGGTTTAAAGTTATGCTGTATAACATACATGTCAGCTGAACCACTTGGTGTTAAAATGATAATTTATTCCCGATGAACTGTCTCTTTTCCAAGCAGTTCAGCGATCTATTATCCAACGTGATGAGTATCCAGGCAACGAAATCAATCCATGTTGAAGTGTTCATATTTTTAAAAACAAACTAGTATGGAATTTTACCCTACCAAAGTGCTCAAGTTTTACTCTTATATTGACGAAATTAGTCATATTTTATAGCGAAAAGGTTAAAATATTCTTAAGCGAAAAAGAAACTATTAGCTTTAGTCCGGATGAGAGCAAGTATTGATCCAGTTGTTTCTTATTAAGCGATTTCGCATCATTTCACCTGATTTATTTAACCATTTAGCTATTGCTTATCAAATAATTGGCAATCAGATAGTTCGTAATTTGCAAACGAAAAGGCATACTTATAGAAGGTGAATATTACAAACGTAGAAAATTCCTTCGTTTCCGCTGATCAAATGTAATTGTGTCTTTGATTTGATACTGACTAATTACATAAGCTTTGATTCTTTTTGGATCAAAATTGAAAGTTTATCAAGATCCTTAGATTTCCACTACTTTGATGACTGAATTTATCCCCATGATCACCTCTATAATTTATTTATATTGCAGATGCTAAGGTAATTTTCAGAACGAGATGTTTCAGCCTGCAAATAGTAAAGTGTTAGGTCGTCAAGTGACTGTCTACCCATAATTCTGACAGTGAAAAGGTATCGAATGAATAATATTTACTAAAATTGTTTGGGATAAAATTGTTCCAAATATGATAGTCATGTGACATCCGAAATACTGCAGTGACGTTTAGTTGTCAGAGCTGCAGATTAGGAGAGCTGAAATAGATAATTCACTTATGCATTGTATACTGTTTACCTATTATTATTATTATTATTATTATTATTATTATTATTATTATTATTATTATTAGCTGTCAGTGACTGCTATCAAGGTGTGAATAAATGAATATGAGAGACTAAACTGATGGTCAACATTTTGTCTCTATGTTATTTACAGTTAGTATTTTACAATAGCAGTGAAATAAAAAAGCGACTTATCTACAAATGTCGTGGGTGAAATAATTTGGATATAATCCACAAAGCTAACAATCAAAGCCACTAGCAGGTTGGGTAGGAAAATAGTAAACCCTTACTAATAGATTAAGGGCTGTTTTTTATCTTCTGTGGTATTTTTTCTAACAGAATCACATGGTAAACTAAGTGGAAATTGATTTTTAACAGTATGACATTTCGACTTCTATGAAAAGTTGCATGTTTCATAAGACTACCAACCCAACAAAAATGCCACTTTCATGCACGGTACCGTTTGCCACTTGAATGTACTGTTTTTGTTATTTCTTTGGGTTGTTGGTGTGTTTATTCTGTTTGATGCTTTTGAAGGTTTCGATAACAATTTCTTTCTGTGGTTGATGTATCCGCTTACTGGAAGTTTTGCAGGTGACTCATTCAATTACCTAGTTACTGTTAGAAGTCAAAGGTGAATACAGTGTTTATAGATTCTATCTCAAAACAGTCACTTTACATAGCTTGTGTGTAGAACAGTTTTCATCTTATCATATTCCTATATGCTGACAATGAAAAGATGGAGAATGTGACAAACACTGTTACTAGTATCTGTGATATGAAATAAATTCTTACTACCATCTAACCAGTGGCGGGTTTTCAAGTGAAATTTTCATTTTGAACCCCACGTGGTCATGAATTTTTTCTTTCTATGTAAAGTTAGCTATACTCTCCAGGTCTCATCAGTGTTTCAGCTTTTCAAACTCAAGTAGTCAGTTACTTCTGTGTTCTTGGGTAAACTATACCTGGTTATATAATTTTCTATAAAGCTGTACGTGATTAAAAAATATTTTTCTTAGAATTGCGAGAATTTTTAAGACTTTAAGTAATAGTCAAAAGATTCACTTCTTTCGTACCAAGTTCAAATTGTTCTCTTCGTAACGATGTCCAGGAATAAGTAGTTTGTGGGATCTCCAGTTAACTTGAACAGTTCTAAATAGATCCACTGGTAAAACAAGATCTTTCAGGCAGCTGGCTGAAAAGCAGGGTCATGGGTGCACATTACTGAGGGGTTTTACTGTAGGACGAAGCAGCTGGTCAATGTTTCTCCAACTGATGTTAGCCCATGATTAATACCAACCTGAGACAAATAAAGCCTTACAAACCCAAAAATTGAAATAATTTGGTGATTTCCGAAGTTTCCATGAGAAGTCGTGATCAGTGGGAGCCAACCAAGTCGAGCATGAGCTAAGTTACTCAACGATGGCATTGGATGGAGGTCACGCCACATCGTGAACCAACAGAAGTAGGAAATATGGACCGATGAATTCCGACCCAGTACCTCGATGGCGAAGGTCAAGCCACGGAACCTGAAGATCTTGGGTTCTACCCCAGGCAGGCTCATGGTGCACGCTGCTTGGGAGTCCCATAGTGGGACGAAACAGCTGTTCAGTGTTCCCAGTTTTCCTACGTCTCTTCAACCGATGTCAGTCCATGACGACAAACTAACCTGAAAGGCGTGCTTCCTGCAAACACCCGGTGCTGATATTGACTGGCAACTGAAGAGTCACTGATTTTATACTGTCTAGTTCTAAGTGATGATCAGATTCTGTTAGTATGATCACTCTCCAGTAACTAGTCAATCCATGTATTCCAGTCCTACTGGAGGTAGGTCGCAGCCTGAATAGTTCAGTGGTGAGGTCTGTGACTGAATGGTATGAGCTTGCATCTTTCAGAGGAAATAAGTTCTCCTGAGGTTGGAGCTACACCTTGCTGACAACTACCAGCAAACACGAAACCAAAGTTCAGAGCTTCGTGCCAACTGTCTTCAACCAACTAACAAATATATATCACGTAGAAGTTATTTGACAGCATTTTTATGCCACATCTTGTTTTTAAGTATTTTTTGTGAGAAGTTGTAAACCAGTGTTTCCTATCGACTGAATAGTAATATCCAATAAATCGTTGTATTACTAATTTTAGTGGTCAGATTACAAGCCTGAACAAATCATTTTGATCAACACGTGCGACTATCCTACTGGACTAGTAACTATTCAGTGATTAGTTCTTGTACATTTGCAGTATGCGAAATCATGACTAACACAAGCGGGCAATAATCCGTTATTTAACAACAGATTAGCGTTAATCTATCAAAAAATCGCTCGGTAGAGAATGAAAACCAACCATAAAAATGACAGTAGATTATGTATCAGTTAACCACATCATTGAGTTGGTCAGAGGAGTTGTAAAGGGTAAATATGGTTTCCTGGGATAACTTTGAAACTTTATCACAGTCTAGTAAAATAAATCTAAAAACTATGAACAGTTTTAACCCCTTTTTACTTGGCACTTATTATTGTATATTCATGGATAGGTGAGTTTGCATTCATCCAACTAGGATCAGTATTTCGCTTTTTGTTTTGGTTGATAATTTACTTTCCCTTGTTACTTAACATGAATATATCGGTCATTATCAAGCGCTTGAATGGAAAAATGATCACAAACATTTTATTTCATTTCATTTATTTATTTATTATCATCCAAAGTAGATTTCCTGCAAATGAGGAATAGCGGTAAAATGAGCAGACTTATATATTGAATCAACAAACACATGAATCAGCATAAAGTCATCAAATCTGTTCGCGTATGCCCACAGATGTACTACAACATTGTTGACTGACACTAAACAGTCTTCAGAACTATACTTCATAATAAAAGAGTACACCTGCGTTATTGTGTTTACGTATGTTAGTTGGTTGGAGGCAATCGGCAGGAAGCCCTGGACTTAGGTTTCGCGCTTTTTTGCACTCTTCAGTAAGGCGTATCTGAAACCTTAACGGAATTGATGTGTCGCCTGAGATTCAAACTCGCCTCACCCAGTGTTGTAGTCAGCGAATTTACCACTGAGCCATTCGGACCGTGACTGACCTCCTGTAGGACTGGCTTACATGTATTGATTGGTCACTGGAGTGCAACCAATCTCATGTTGTCTAGTTTTAATTAAGATATGAGATAGACCTGCAAAATCAGAAAATTCATTTCAGTTTAGGCTGTAATAAAGTCAAAATTTTACCTAGTGGCACAAAGCAACTAAGTTTGGGTTTTATTTATGAGTGAATTTATGTTGAATCATTGTCACTCTACGGATGAATCTAAAATTTGGCTGGTGAAGGAAAAGATTTCTAACGATTGAAATATGTTGTAGTATGTTCAGGTATCCTCAAATAAATGTAAAAACCGCATATTTTTTTTTTACCTTCCCTCTCCCTTTTTTACCAATGTCTTAACAATAAATTTCTGTTTTATCATCAGGATTTCACTGTCTCACCCAAACCGATTCCACCCTGATCCACTTCAGTTTCAAGCTTGCATTCACAATATCAACATGTCAAATACATTTATACCACCTTCCCTATTTCCTTTCTCGACTTCTCAAAGTTACAATGGGACTGAATAAACAGCAAACAACTTATACTTTAGTTAGTGATTTATTCTATTCGCACATCCTAATCTCCATCATTTTTTTCATTGTTTGTCGTCATTGGGCTACCTAGTCATCATCATATGTAGGTTACGTTAATCTGGAAATAGCGTACATTTTCTTTATAGTCTATAGGCAGTTGAAAGGAAGGTAAGGAAATGCCATGCATTTCTCGTATTCTGTAAAGCTTGTTGTTGTTACTATACTAATAATAATGTATTCAGAATTTGTTTTACATTGCATCAAGCAGTTATAAATATGGTAAAGAAGACGAAGAAGGACAACTTCATATTTATGATTATAAATTGAGCAATCTTCAGATGCACCAGACCAGTGGAATTTGACAAAATGGAAATATTTTGGCAGATAATTTACGTTTTCTTTACTATCCTTGCCGTGCATTTATTTTCAGTCTTTATGCTTTTCTCTTTATCGTTGAAAATGCTTAGTTTGAAGAGGCCTATCTCAAATACCAGCTGAAAGTGGATCAGTTACGAGAAACAGAAAAAGAGAGAAAAGCTCAAAAAAGCGAGTCGTACAAGAAACTGAAGACAGAAAAGTATATGCCGCTGCATTTGTTGACGATTTAGAAGGTGACAGATTATTTGAAATAATAATGGAAGCAGATCCAGATGGACAGAAATTTGCCAGTCTACCACTCGTCCCAGAAGTGTTCGATCAATATCCTTTTTTACAAGAGGAACAATATTATCAAAGTTTGGTTGCTTTTCGATTGGTTAGGAATTAAGTAACCATAGTTATTCGTAGCCTGATAACGAGGCTGATTGATGGATGAACTGATAACTTGCAAACTGGTGGTCTGAAATTGTCAGTCATTAAAGTTTTCCTTCGGCCAAACAGGTCTATCTTGGCAGATCAAATTACAGTATAATCGGAGGTTTTTAAGCGATAAATACTATTTATTTTTTATGGTATATAAATGAGTCGGTTATTCTATAATAATAACTTCCAAAAATAGTCAAAAGTAATATTTCAACTACTTGGTTTTCCAGCGCATGTTAAAACCTTCAAGATAACAGGGAGACTTTACTCACTGCTGCTGAAATGTGTCTTAAAGTTTTCTTATCGGTTAATGAAGGCAGTCTAATATTAGTCAACAAGATGAATAAATTATATCCTGTGACATCTTGAGACACTCGATACTCGATGAATCCACATTGATTTATATGAAAAAACCCAAGGTGCCTTAGGCATGATTGATGGTGAATTATAGATTTCATTGAATTATTCTGATTACTTGTCTCCTGATACGGCTACTGGAACGTAGTATTTTTGGTTTTCAGTCTGTGACCGTGAGTCAACGGTAATCGAAGAATAGTATAGAATCCAAGATGGCTTATAAAATTTGATCATTAGCAACGCACGAGTAGCACAGCCTAGGTCAGCATCTAGATCATTTAAGCAGATCATGTCTCAGAGGCCTAGGGGATTGACTGAGGATTAGATGCTTGCGGATTCGAATCGCTCCCAGTCTACCAGGGCTAAGATCAATCAGAAATATCATCAGCCTTCTTCTCATACTTCTTCCACTGCTGAGTTGCAACTTCTCAAAACAGCCGACTTCCCATACACAATATTATTGAAGTTGAACAGACAGAAAAATCAACATAGAACAAGACACGAAAGTGCCCTAGTTCAATATACCATACTTTACAACAGTATGCAAAGAAAAGCCATGTCAAAAATGAATGACATGAGAGTGAATAAAAATGAATAGGAGAAATGAAAACAAATGGACGAAGGTTAATGAAGATATTTGGAACTTCAACGTTGACAGTCAATGGATGTATTTACATTAGTGTGGTCAATTTTGAGCCATATCACCAATCGTCTTCAGCTTTGGGTTGCTATCATCCCGAGGAGTCAAGTAAAGCAGTCTACATGTTCGTATGTGGCTTATGTGAACTGTAAATATGTTAATGGACTGGTGCCATGTTTGGGTCTGACTGCCTTCATCCTTCTTGTAATCTAATCTTTGCTTCAGGTAAAATTGCATGAAGAGGTAGATGGTGTTTCGGTATGCGCAAAACTGTCCAAGACATCTAAGTTTATGCATGCATGCATCTTAATCTACTGACTTGCTTTCTTGGCCTAGTGCCCTTTGCCTAACCTCAAAATAGTTCACAGGGTGATCACACCGTACATTAACAATGCTGACAAGGCATCTTTGGTCGGAATCCTGTGATCTTTTCATATTTACTTTCAACTGCAATGTTTTACGCCCATACAACGGGAAAAAGTCAACAGCAGCGTAGTAAACTTGTCTTTTTTCTACGTCGATGGGTATAATGTTAATAAGTAAGTCAGTAAATTTAAAGCTGTTCTCTTTCGTCCAAAAAAGAATTCATCAAACACCTAATAATACAAGCGGATGCAATTCCGCAAACAAGTGAAATATTCACCGCATACTATCAATTCATTCTTCATACTCTTTGACATTTTTGACAAAGATGGATACGAATGGTGATACCAAGTGTCATTGATAGTACTTAGGGATGTTGTGGCTTCACATGACAACTCTCTATGTGCTTTAACACAGCTGCATGAGTTCGACTAGAGTCATGATCAAGATAATGGCATAGTGACATTTATATAGAGTTCGAGCTAAGGTATATTAACTCTGCGATTAGATAGAGTGAATAGTATTGAAATAGTTGGTTGAATACTTGTTGATCATTTTCAACCAATGGGAATTTTATTTAGTATATCACACTTACTAAACATCTAGCCAAAAATTTAGAAATTGACTAAAAATGTAAAGACCTCTTTACAGATTTAAAGGATGATTCCCAAAACTTAACTTCATAAATCCCATAAGACACATACAGGGACAGATTATCTGAGTCATGCCGTACATTTTTTACTCATGGAATTGAAGAATATCAAAAGCGAAGTTCAGAGGAGCAGTCTTTTAGAGAAGTTATTGGAGAAGTTAAGACTGCAGATCGTGCTGAAGGCCTACGATTAGTTCGACAATTCTTTGAGTACAAAGTAAAAGTAAGTCCGTACAAATTGAAAAACTATCTCAATAGTGTTTTCTAATCTATTCATTAAAATTTTTGTTAAGCACCATATCATAATTGTCTTTTGATAAGGAACTGTAAGCATAGACCGACTTTGACTGAAATGCAGTCCAATCAAGAAATCTTCCCACCTAGGTGAATAATGACATTGTTTCTGTGCACTCTAAACATGATGATTGACTTACTATGCTTTTAGTTCTGTTATTGTCAGTTCAAGTGGTAATTTGTGTAAAATAGTTAACTGAGAAGAATCATACCACCAAAGACGAAAATTTTAGCCATTCCTATAGAGTACGGATTTCTTAGATGCATGAGAGTTGGTAGAACTTTCTTGTTACTGTCTGTTTTTTTATGAGAAGGTCTTTGTACATTTTCTTTGACACTGTTGATTTAGATAGAACATTATTTTCAGAATCCTTGATAGTACAAGACACTTTTGAAACCAGAGATACAATTTTGTAAATTAAGTAAGAAAAATGTTGTTGCAATGTAAGTTGGATCGTTTTCATGTGATTTTTAGATAAGGCCACAATAAAATAAAGATCGAAAGCAGCAGATGGAAGGTACTCCAGTTGAGTATATCATCCAAGAAGTCAAATCACACAAACTAAGCCCTGTTTATACTCATGAAATGTTATTAGAGAATGTGGCGAATATGTTTGAGCTGGTCAGAAGAATGAAACTGCAGTTTTGACTAAGTTTGGAAACATCTTTTGTGTTCGAGTTTGTAATCCAGTGTTACAATAGCTAAAGTTACTACAGAAAAAAAAGAAAAATATTTGATTGTTCAGTCACCTAGGTCAAACTGAAAAACTGTTTCAATGAGCAAACTTACAAACAATTTTTGTTTTCTGGATATATTCCTCTTATATGTATCTTAATACACAGACGAACATTTATTATTAACATTAAGGTAGCACTTATACATGGAAGTCCAGTTCCATGTCAGTTTCATTTTTTAAAAATAGAACATGTTGGAAAATCATTGTGTATACTGAGTATGGTTTTGCAGACAGTCACTCATAGTTATGCCAAGGTGACATATGCGTTGGTAAGCAAACAAAAAAGAAACGATGCTGAAGATATATGAATATTCTTGTATTCTAACACGCTACACTCTAAATTAATACACTGAAAGAAAATGAACACAATTAAAATCATACTACAGAAAGTAGATCAAAAAATCAGGAAAACGAAATTAATATGGAGAGCAGAAAATACTTGATTTTCAAGACTGCAAGATACTTAAAGTCCAGTTTATTGAAGGCCCTAAGACTGGTTTCAGAAACCTATCTCATAATTATCTTAATGATTCTAGTTGTTACTGAGACCCTTGTCAAATAGGCTTGATTTCCACAAATTAACTCTGATCAACAACTTTAAACTTCATTCACCTTTGCCAAGCTTTTGTACAACTACTCAAAGACGTTTTCATTCTATTCTTATTCTTATTAACATGAGCTGTTGTATTTAATGATGGCCAGGAATGGACAACAACCAGTGGATGCACTTAAACACGTTACTTAAGAGTTCCCATGCAGGGTGAGGCATAAGGGCGGTAAACCACTCGACTCCTTTTTATTAATCTCATTATCGGAATATGTTAATCCCTAATTACCAGTCGCATTTCAAGGTGCGATGGATAAACCTTGGCTAATCTCTGCCTCCAAAAGCTTCCTTACTTTCCTAGCAATTTCGTCTAAAAAGATGAAACTCAACTAGAAGTTAGCTAGAACAAGGATGTAAATGAAACTTAGCTGAATCTTCTATCTTGACCTTAGTAAAGAATCTTCTAGACGCTTACTGTCAAGCCACTTCAATGACCACAAATCTTGCTGTAGTTTTTATCAAAAAATGAAGGAATACCAACGCAGCGATAAAAATCCTTAACTGAAACCCTTTTTGAATAATTTGTCCAAATTAGTTGCCTGTATGAATACAGACGTTGTGAAGTCATGAGAGTAGGTTGAATACTTAATTTCATCAACGGAAAAAATCAGCTTCAGATAAACGCAACCTTTTTTTTAATAGTAAAATAAAAATGAGGATTGTGTCCTTCATGTCAAAATGGCGACTGAAAAAAATTGAACAACTAACAATTATTCAAATGAAAAGTAGGAAAAAATGACAACATTGATGTCTGAATTCGTTAAGTAAAAGAGAAAAAGGATGCACTGTCAATAGATAGATGCACACATTGGTTACAACGCTGTGCAGATTGTAATTATGATCTTCTGTGATAGACTAAGTACAAAATGTACACTATTCACTGAGTTTGCAGTGAACATCATAACTTATTCCTATTCTTAAGTTCCTAATGAAATAGACATGCAAATAAATGGTTATTTCATAAATTCATGCAGATTAAACGAATTTCATTTAGTTTTCTAACCCTTAAGACTGTGAATATCTGAAGTTGGAAAAATACATCAAACAGTGAGTTATAACTTCAAATTTCATCTTTATTTCATCCAATAAGTGCAATACTCAACCATCCGACTACATTTTAAAAGAATTAAACGGATATAATAATGTCAGTAAACTATGTTGAGCAGATCTAGTGAACACCTTTTTTAAAAGCAATTTATTAACTGGATTGAGAAGGTTTGAAGTGCGACTTCAGTCTTTTAATAATAAGTCAGTAAACAAAGTCTGGAATACTATCAGCTAAGCATGTAACATTTTTTTCTTAACATGATGGGTTTTTACATCACTTACCAAGTTCTCTATCCAGCTGCAAGTGGAGCAATAAACTTGATTATCCAAATAAAATTAGGAACAGTTTAACATTTCTGGTCTAATTTTTGAAGCATGTCAGATGTGCAGTCCAAAATCCTTTGGTTTGAGTATAAAGGTAATACATATTTCTTTCTTTCCAATTCATTCACCGTTCCCTTATTAGGAAATAAATTTACTACAGATGTTGGCAAATAGCTTTAGTTAGTTCTTGGTTTGTCGTATTCAGTTGTTAGCCGGACGCGCCTCATTAATTGTCACATTCAAAAAGAGAAGATAATTGAATCATGCTTACAATACCTACGTATAACTCTAATTTGCAGGTTAAGTCTGTCTTACGTAGAATCTCTTATATCAAACTACAGTGAGTGGCTTAACCGAGTGAAGCCTTTTTTGCATATTAGATATTAGATAAACTCAAGAATACTCCGGAGATACAAAAGGAAATTATAGAAGACACTATGACTGGTTATCGCAAACGAATTCATGATTTATGGGAGAAACTCATGTCTAACGAAATGATCCTTGCCGAACAAATCGAGGATGTGGTGAAAGAATTCGAAAGAAATATAAGAGATATGATAGCATACTTTATTGAATCAGCTCAAGTAAGTACACTGACTGGAAGTGCGTAATTGATAATAAAGGTATTTTGGCTTTAGAACTTGAAAATTAGAACAGGCTTCTATTTTGTTAGAAAGTTTATTAGCTGTTGAAACTTGGAATAAAAAAATCTATTTTTTGAACTAGGCAGCAAGTTATCTCAAGGTAACGATAAATTCATATCGTTATTTGTTATTCATATCCTCCCATCTTATTTCGAATAATTTTTCACTGTTTGGTTGAGCCTGTGGTTTGCTGGGAACAGTATATTTAAGAATGTTGGAATGCAGTTGATTACCATTATATCTAATGTTTATTTGTTTGTCATTTTAATTTGGGGGTTTACGGGGATTTAGTGATTTTTCAAGTTAGTATTCATCATGGACTGACATCAGTTAGAGAAATATTGGAAACCTTGGAGCACTGGATAGCTCTTTCATCCTATTGTGGAACTCCTCAGCAGTACGCACCCATGATGGCGCCAGGGATCAAACCCAAAACCTCCAGGTTCCATGGCCAGCTACTGGTCGGAATCCAACTGTCCGTATTTACAACTTCTTTCAGTCCGCAACATAGCGTGATCACCACTTTAGGTCACCGTTAAGTATTTGTCTACCGGACTCCGACCCAGTGGCTCAATGGTAACGTGCTGGCCAAAGAATTTGATCCTGGGTTCGGTCCATAGCGGGATCATGGGTGTGTACCGCCGAGGAGTCACGTAATAGGATGAAACAGCTGCCCAGTGCTCCCAGGTTTGTCGCTTTGTCTGACAATCCAAGCCAAAAAGCTCAAGCATCGTATTATATAAAAGTAACACCTTTAGGGGAATCTGCGAAAAGATGCCACACAGGGAAAATGATGAATTGTTTGCATAGAGATATAAGAAGTGGATGTGAATCAAATGAAAAAGAATTTCTTGACAACACCAAAAGACTGAGTGTGAAAGATGTATGTGGTTAGGAGCTAAAAAGCAACCGTTTCACTGATATTGTAAAATGCTCCTTTGCTCAGGCTACTGGAAGTAGATGAATAGATACAAAAGCTAAGCTAAATCACTGACATAATTCATCATTGGAGATTAGATAAAAAGAAACCTGATCACTATTAGGCAAAAAACTGTTTGGGTGATTAAGATGAATAGAACTATTCGGATCAACAAATACAAAAACTAGAGTTATAAGAAATAGGAGACAACTATTCAATGATTTTGGCGTAAGTTGAACTAACTAACTAATTGAGATGAAATGAAATATATGTGGAATAGATAAATAAAAAAACAACACAATCATAGATATTCAACTTCTACATTTTTTCTAAGCATGCACATCGATACCTCTAGTCAACGAATGAAACTCTCATAAGTTTGCTTGGTTGCAAGGTGGAACTCATGAGAAAACTGCTATTTTAATTGTAGTGAGGATGATTGGTCAAATGGTAAATTGGTTTACAAAAATAAATTAAGTTTACATGACGGTTTCTTTAGAATACACTGTCATAACATCAAGAAGATCGTGAACTCGATAAAGTTTCGCTGATTTACTGTTTAATTGTGCTACTAGGAGTTCTGGTCAAAATGCAACAATGTGACCTATATACATGAAGTTTATGATAGATCGAGGTAGATGATAAAAAGATTGTCAGATTATGTTTGTTCGACGAAGCTTTTATCTCCCAATTTGTATGTTAAGTCGGGGCTTCATAGAATGATCAAGGTTTCCTTCTCTATTTTACCGCTGTATACAGAGGTTGGTTATGAGTGGATGAGTTTGAAGAACTGTTGTATCTGAGTGTATCCACTAATCCTACTTGTTGTGGTTTGAGTGACTGTATACTTTTATATATCCTTAAATTTTCGATTCGTGACAGAATTTAACGAAGTGTAAGGATAAAATATTTATCTAACTGATCACTAAAACTTTGAAACCTTGGATGTCTTATAATATTTGCCATTGTTCAGTGATTGAGTTATTAATATCACTGTATCAGCATCAAGACAAACGTAGACAACTGATTTCAATGAGACTGTTTCTGAAATCGCTGATTATTTTCAATTACATGTAATTTAAATCTCTTATGTTGTCCTGTAGCATTACATAAGCAAGTGTCGTGAAGCGGCTAATGGTTTTCATGAATATTTAACAGAGGCAACACTGCCTTTTGCTGAGCGATTGGGTAAAGGTGAATTGACGAAAACAGATCAGGTAAGATTCTGTTATTAGTTTTTTGCCTTTAAGACATTTGTTTATGGATGAGAATCTTTGTTTGAATCTAGTTGCAATAGACAAAGGAAGAAATCAAGGTTCATTACTGTAGATGAACCATAGGACAAATGGTGAGAATACATACAACTGGAGAAAGCGGATTGATTGAATCTGCTCAAATGAATCCCAAAATCTTTTTCTTGTTGGAAAGGTATACACTTTTGTCAGTGGCGCTTTGTTTGACAAGGCTGTAATGAGGCCGTCTGACGATCTGAAAAGTCCTGGTTTAGTTGCCGTATTTCAGTTACATTTCATAGTTATACACAATATCATCTCGATTTGCATTTTGTCACTTCTTCTTGGGCCCTTAATTACCTAGATCAATTATTTCAAGAGAATCCCTATGGTAGCACCTAACAACTGAGAATTTAAGTAAATGCATTTTTTCTTCAAAGTCAAATAAAAGTCTCTTCTTAAGTACAATACTATATACTCAGTTATCTATACATATCGAGTATTTATATGAACTTGAACTGTCAATATTCAGAAAGTGTGTTCGCAAGAAGTGAAGTATCAAATGCTGATTTGCATACCTTCACAAAATTGTATGATTTTTATAAGTGGTTGGCTAGAATTCGCTGGATTTTGCTGTAAGTTAAAGGAATACTGGTAGTTGATGGATGATGTGACCGAATTTCATAACGGGCGGAAGGAACCTCCAGTATTTTTTGCGATCAAGAGCGCTGATAAACAATTACCAAATTATAGTATAGGTTGGATGGGAGTTAAATTTTCCTGAATTAGTAACACACCAGTACTACTTACTGTCAAAAGAATTGTGACATTTAAATGACATATATTCCACCCGGGGATAAGTTGAGACAGTAAATTGTAGAAATATTGCATGAACAAATATAACAGTTGAGCGACTTTAAAGATGGGCGGTATCCTTTCTGCAGATCCTCAATGAAGCAGGAATCCGTGGAATACACTCAAAAGCAATCAGATCTAGTTTCACTCTCGAAAATAATCTTACGAATATCATTATTTATAGGTTTGTGTTAATCCAAAACAATGATTTTATTTACGGTACAGAATTTTCAATATGTAGTACTGCAGTAATTTACTCAAAGTACAATCTTTTTCAAATATATAAACAATGACAATGATTAACAATATATAATCTGTAACCATCGTATTGTTGAACCTCGCCTGGCTGTCATCGAGCCAGGTTTAAAAGATTTCAGAGAACAGAGCGCATTGGAGACGTGCTACTGAAGCCCTATGTTCCATTAGGAACCCAAAGGACAAATAAATAAATAATAATCGTATTGTTGAGTTACTTTATGCCCCCAGGTCTATGATGTGCTCACTGTTACAAAGCCGAGTGATAATACTTTGTCTTCGATGATTTTCTCTACATAATACACAAGCTAAATTAGGCATAATTGAACGTTGCATGTATTGTGCATGCTTCTTGTTTCCCCTGATAACAAACATACAGAGAGGTACGGAGGTAGAGAATGCTTGTCACCAGACAAAATGTTTGTAGCCTGTAGTCTACAAGAGTCCAAGTGTTTATCCAAAAGCGCATTTATTAGCACGGTTACTAGTGTACAACGTACTCTACTAACAACCTTTAAAATTCTACACAACAGAGCGTAGTCTTTTTTCCGGAGCTCAGGACAAAATAAGGGGCCAATAAGTAAGTATAGGATAAGGATAGGAACTAATAGAATCTAAGAGTAGAGGCTGAGTTATCCGATGGATAACGCTTAATACATTCTCTACACTAGTCACTTATAAGACAAGGGTGGTGGTAGCGAAGCAGTTCACATAGGTCTTGTTCAGGTCTAAAGCTGAAATTAACCACCTTGTATTTCGAGGAATTGAGTGTGAGGTTATTCAAGGAAGATCGATGACCAGTTTTGGTCAAGAACCTTTCAAAATAGGAATAGTCTGAAGAGGAGGTGACTCGAATGGATACAGCTAGGTCATTCGCATACTTACCAAAACTATTTTTAGTTTAGGGAGGCATGTCATGGACAAAGTTAAGGGAAGAGAAAAGAACAAACTGAGGCACATCAACTTCAATAAGTAGAGAAATATAGCGAATCCCGGGGCAAGAAATTTAATGACTTCTCTCAGAAGGTATATCTTGGTTTCCAGTGTCAAAATGATCGGAAAATCGTTTGTCCTTTAGTGAAATTAACGTACATTTTGTTGAATCTCTCGATTGCCATTTTTAGAAGCTTCATTCACTTCCCTTTTTCCTTTTCCTTTTTTAATAATAAAAGGTTTTATTTACAGACAGAGATACAATGATTAATAGTCTAGTTCGATCAAAAGATAACCAGTCCTTAAGAATGGATGAATGTGAAGAAAGTTTAATACGACGTGCTAATGAATGGTGTGATAAATTAGTTCAAACTATCTACCAACAGGAAGTACTTGAACGTCATAAGAATAGAATTACTGAAATTAATTTATTCATTGATGCTCAACGAACTGAACTTGACTGTTATGATTTAGTTGCAATCTAAGCAGATTTACACACCATTTGAGGGGTGAGGTGGTGAAGTTATCCAGTTTACACTGTATACTGTAATGCTGTCCACCCATAATTATGTAACTAAAGTATATCTCGTCACTGTATTAAACAATAGATGTTTTAATTTGTAGATGGCATCTTTTATTTCGACACTGATTTGTGTGAACTTCTTGGCTAAGCTGCGCATGACATTAAATTAAGTATAAGCTTTGATGATCACTTATAGTTGGCTTTGTATTGATTGGTTAATTTTAGGTAACCTGAACTCGCAAGCAGAACTTCAAAACTTTCTTATGAATTGGCTACGATCACTTTAACTACTTAAATTGCTACATAATGTCAGGCGACGAAGATATGCAGCTAAATCTAGTCACGTGTGATAATCTAAGTTCTAGACAGCGACTCATACAATTATTTCTTAACCAACCCTCTATTTTGATCGGAGCAGAAAACCGGTAGGCTAACGAGTTGCCTACATAAGTGTATCAAGAAAGGATGAAGTTCCCAAGTAAACTTAGAAAAATGACAGCTGGATTATTCGGTCAGACCTGAAATTGGAATTGACTTCAATGTATGTTCCTACCTATTGTCATATAAGCTTATTGGACAGATAAGTTATTCCTATAAATGACTTAAGAATATCAATATGAACTCCCATACAACATCTGTATAACCTTAGGTTCAGTACACCAATTGGGAGAATATACACATTTCACTTGAGTTTAAGTCTAAAGCTAAGGAGATATTAATTAACATTGTGGTGAAATTTCACTGACAGCTAAATATAGATAACTGGGAAAAGCTTTTAAAATTTTCATAGTGATATGAAGTGGTTTGAATGTACCATTCTTTCAAACAAAATTGAAAAGACCGTATTCACTGTTATAATAAATTGTTTATTTCTGTTCGCAAAACATTTTAATCGATCAACAATGCAAAATTCACACTCATTAAGTTAGGAAGATTTACTGTTTCACACCGTATCTGCATTAAAACATTCCTCCTTGGGTTAATCAGTTGTAGAAAAATGAGTGGAGATCGATACGATTCCTGGTTTAAGTACGGAAAGTACTGATGCGGAATAAAGGCACACTGTCGTCCACACCCTTCTTCTGTATGTATGTATGCATCGTATAGACACATCGTGCCTAAGAGTATATCATCATTTTGGTTAGCACCTTTACAGCATATTTTAATGCCTTTCTCATATGACTTTATTTGAGGTAGCCAACCATAAAGACGGTTGATCTTTAGTATAAAACAAGGAGATGCACTGTCGAATCCGAACATATTTTTACGATTACATTTATATGACCAGTCCAGTTTAAAGGTACAGCTTGTTTGAACTAATGCTTCAGTACTCACAGGCTGAGAGTTATTTTCCGCTAAACAGTCGCGTAAACTATTTTCTGTGTATGTATTGTCTTCGTAATGCTGCAGAAAAGCGAGGAGGGCGTCTTGATAGGGGAGAAAACTATCAGACTTACCGTCCTATCAAAACAAAGGAAGAAGAATAAATCAGTTAGATTAGTGACTTGAACAAAAATCAAATTGGAAACTTTCCATGAAAACTATGTATTTACTAGGATAATACGAATAAATCTAAGGCAGTTTGTTAAGCATAAAAACAAGTGGACAGAAGAATACTTTCAACAGAATTTTGCTACAACTTCAAAGTGAATATTCTTGGAAATTAAAGGCCGAATCTCTGGCTGAATACAAGGTGCTATTTAGATGCTGCAAACCATTTTTGCATAAAGGAAGTAGTTACTTGGTGTTTGCATGATAATGCAAGCGATGTTTACACTAATGTTGTATATTAGGAAGAACAAATAACAATGACTGGCTCATTATTTCTGCAGTGCATATAGTATGTGGGATGAACAAACAAAAAGAAAAGTCTGAGAGTGAAATATGTTGAGGAACAAATGCTACATGTGATGAATTTGCTGAAGTCACTAATTGCGTAATTCGAGAATTCTGTAATCCGTCTATAGTCAGCAGAATATACCACATTTTCGTGCATGTGATTCAGAGCGACAAATGATGACACAAAGATGAATAAGGTGTAGTGGATGTTACATTATGAAAGTTTATTGGTTCTAAAAACGTGGTCACTAAGTCTTGGAAAAATGAAGGATCTATCAGTGTACAGGCATTCAAACTCGGTAGGGATTTGATGATTTGAAAAATTTTTGGCATTGGGTGAACACTAGTCGTTATTATTTTTTATTTCTCAGTCAATACAATGGAAAACACAAATATAAAATATTGAATCTGGTAGTTTGTTTTTTCATTTGTATGGATATCAGATGAGTCTGTAAAGTAGGAATTCATAGGGTGAAAAACTACTTACCAGCAAAAAACGTTCAGATGAAGTCAACTTCAACCACTCAGCTGTTGCTTCATGAAATTACTTACATTTATCATTTTAAAAGATGCATGATGAGGGGACACTAACGAGTATAAGTGACCTACAAATAACACAATATTGAATATACCGTGTGATTTTAGATTCTGCGACATTTATTTATCAACAGAATCAGAACACCGAAAATACCAATCTAAAAAACCTCATATTTCAGTGTTAGGTAGGTAATATTTTCTGAGGTATGAAAAGTTTACTGCTGATGAGATGTTAGCTCTTACATAAGGTGTTAAACACACAGTACACTGGAACACTTAATTTCATAGAAAGGTATCACGAAAGCCCGAGCGTATTTTTGATGGTATATGACCACTAGATTAACAGAGAATATACACTACCCCCACTTCATTTAGGTAACTCACTTAGTATGCCTCAGCTCAAAAATATCTCAATACGTTCAAGAGGTGTAACATGTGTGCGAAAACTATTCTAAGATCGTGCCCTTGTAATTTCACTTAACCTTGTTCAATGTAAATACTATTATTTCAAAAAGCAAGTTTGACTGAGTCCTCTTTGTAGATCATAAACTATCCGGAAAGGATATTATTTTCCAAGAAACTGACTGTTAAGACAGTCATTCGAATCAGTATTAGCATTTAAGGTGAGTATCCTAGTTGGAAGCCAGTGTGGCTTAAAATGATGATTGTTAACTTTTACAATAATTATTGATTTTCAACAGGTAAAATTTATTTGACCAACACTAATTTGAAGTGAGATAGTGTCATCCAACCCCTTATTTGACGAAGTGTAGTTTCTTTTTCACTTAAGGCATATGACTAAAGCACACACATGTTTTGAAACCAGCCGTAAAGTGAAGACAGGATCAGTGCTGTCTTGTAAAGGCTCGCAAGTTCTCCAACAATCTTAAGTCGATTGCTACAGAGCTATCTTGATACCTCAAATGACTATAAGGAAATTTTGGAAATGGCAACTGGATGAACTAATTCCTCCATGAATATTTGAATAATAACTCCATCCCTTTCCTAGAAAATGAAGTAATCAACAGTCAAAGCAAGTCTGATAAGACTGTCTGTGACTCCCATAGATGAGATAGCATATCTGATATGTTTCAGGTTAGTACTTCTAAGAATCAATTCAAAAGAGCCCAATGTCCTGTCTAGGTTATCACAGAATCCTGTATTTCAAAAGATATTTACAGCAGAACCTAATGTTCTGTTCAGTCTATAGCTGAATATTTATTTAGCTGAGGTTTAAGTGCAGACCGTCTCCACACCTAATTAAAATGTTGTTCCTAATTTCTCAGACATCTGTTTGTGAATTAACAGACGTGACTGATTGAAAGTGTAGCCAAGTATTATCTTTGCTTATGGTTGTCAATCCTTACCTAGTTCTGTTAGTTCTTTTATCTCTTTCCATTTTGAGCACTTCATGGTGAGAAGTATTCTGTCAGTTTTGTCTTACGATTAACAGTGTTACCTACCTGTATCCATCAGCAAAGTTGATATTGGCGCTCGCTATTTGATGAATGTCACTCATGCTTAACTTTAGTTTTAACCAGGCACAAATTGCTGAAGGGGAAAGTTGTTAGATTTTATAGTTCTGGATTCTTTGTTTGGTAGCTATAGTTTAAGCAAAATAATGTGATGAACACTTTCAACCATGCAGAATTGTTTTTCACTGTAGGTAACTTTGAAGTGAGTGTTTCTGAGGTTGACTGACTGTAACAACGAGATATTCGACTGAAAAAACTTTGATGCATCTACCACCCTGTCATGTAACCACTCAGAGTAGGATTCGTTAATCCCATCAGATAGAATTTGGACCAAAAGTGTTAACATAGGCCCCTAGAAAATACTCCTCTGACCCTCATTATTAAGAACGTTGTTCTAAACGATTCTTCTCTTCAAAATATCAGTAGCAGGATCACCTAAAAGTCTAGCTACACTTACAGTTTCGTTTAGAAAATAGAATTAAGGCGATTCTTTTGAAGTTCAATTTTAACGATTTTGACTGTGTGTCGTCTTCAAAAGCCGTTTTTGACATTTCTTTGGAATACCTTTGTTCTTCTTCTAGAGTGTCACCGGTGCAAATAAATGGAACAACAGTGGTAACGTCTGTAATTCTATTTCTCTTCCGGCCCACGTACGTCATCTCTTGCTACATAAACATTTGAAAATCCTCGATTATGGACAAATCCTTTGTTTGAATTTGTTTTCTTACAGATGGGTTTAGTTTAAGTTTCACTTGAATTAGTAAAGGCCACATGAGGTATTAGATAGGCACAAAATATAGTTTAATTTGCCGCTGAATATCGCTTAGTAACTACCATCAATATTCTACTCCGTAAAGTAAAAATTTTATCAAACGTTTATATATAAATTTACTAGAAGTGAGATGTTTTAATTATTCACTTTATATGGGAAGGAAAAGCTATCGTCTAGAAAAGAACAACTTCATGTTAATGCTTAGTTGTGTAACTTGATTATGGATGAGCGGTTGATGACAAGATGTTTTCATGACTGACATGTTTCATTCTCCTACTATGTAGTAAAACTTTGTGAAAAATTTGTAGTTTGGTTACACACCACTTGATGCTCAAGCCA